CAGCAGCAGCAGCAGCAGCAGCAGCGCGCTCAACAGCGAATCTCGGACATCGATGCACGCTTCGCCGCGCCACCGTCGCCCGTGCTGCGCGACCGTCACGCGCGCCAGCACACGTATCTGCGCATCTCGCTCACCGAAAAGTGCAACCTGCGCTGCCTCTACTGCATGCCCGAGGACGGCGTTCCGCTCACTCCGTCCGACAAGCTGCTCTCCACCGCCGAGATCGAGCGTCTCGCCGCGCTCTTTGTCTCGCAGGGCGTCACCAAGATCCGACTCACAGGTGGCGAGCCCACGGTGCGCGCCGACCTGCCGCAGATCGTCCAGTCGCTTGCAGCGCTCAAGCAGCACGGCCTCGAGCAGATCGGCATCACCACCAACGGCATCGCGCTCGGAAGGCGCAAGCTCGACACGCTGGTGAAAAACGGATTGACCCACCTCAACGTCTCGCTCGACACGCTCGATCCGTTCAAGTTTGAGCTCATGACGCGCAGGAGGGGCCACGATGCCGTCATGGACTGCATCCACAGGGCACTGGCGCTCCGCATGCCTAGCGTCAAGATCAACGTCGTCGTCATCAAGGGCTTGAACGACCACCAGGACGTGCTCGACTTTGTCCGCCTCACAAAGGATATGCCCATCACCATTCGTTTCATCGAGGTACGCCAGCCTTTCCCCCCTTTCAAGCGCTTGATCAGACATGCTGACGTTTCTTTGATAATGGACCCGCAGTACATGCCCTTCGACGGCAACAAGTGGCAGGTGAACAAACTGGTGCCCTACCGCGACCTCGTGCAGACGATCCAGGGCGAGTTCCCCGACTTTGAGCGTGTGCCAAGGCGCGATGATCCGAACGACACTTCCAAGCACTGGCGCGTGCCCGGTCACCAGGGCACCGTCGGATTCATCACAAGGTGAGTGTGCCTTCCACCCTCCCTTTGCCACCCTGCATGGAAGGACTAACGCTCCGTTTCTCTCTTTGCTTGGCGCACTCTTCTCGCAGCATGACGGACAACTTTTGTGGTACGTGCAATCGACTCCGCATCACCGCCGATGGTAATCTCAAGGTAAGTGTGCTTCGGCCTCCTCGCAGCTTTGCATTGGTGTTGCCAGAGCTGACGACGCTATGACGATTTGGTTTGGATTCAGGTCTGCCTGTTTGGCAATGCCGAAGTGAGCCTGCGCGATGCGATGCGCACGGGCTTCGAGGGTATCGGCACGTTCAGCGCCGGCTCCAACGGTGCGCCGGCGAGCGACGAGCAGCTGCTGGAGCTCATCGGGGCCGCCGTGGGACGCAAGCACGCCAAGCACGCCGGCATGCGCGACCCCACCGAGCTCGCAAAGTCGCTCAACCGACCCATGATTACCATCGGCGGCTGATCCCCGTGCGTACCGCCCGCGCGCTGCTGGCTTTGTCAATATGCACGCAAAACTCACTCTTTCCGCTCAATGGCCCGGTTTTCCATTGCAGGTTCGAGCGCGCTGCGACAGGCGCGCATGCAACGACGACGCAGCGTGGCTGCCCAAGGACCAACCTCGCCGTTCGCAAATGTCGTCCCCAGGCGGACGTTCCACAGCTGCAGCCAGCGCCACAAGTCGGCGTCCCGGGAGCAAGACGAGGAGGCGGACGACGACAGTCCGTGGGGCGACCTGGACAAGGCGTTTGAAAATCTGCAGGACAAGTCGCTGTACCAGCGAGTGTACGCCACTCCGGAGCGCCACTCGCCCTCGCCTGCCGCAGCAGCTTCTGCAGACGCGGACAGCCCGGCCCGCGACCCGATCGCCGCGATGGAGGAGGAGATCTTTGCGCGCGCCGGCGCCGCGGCGG